CTGCCGTCATCGCACACGTGCGGGCGCGTGCTGCAGCTGCCGCGCTACCAGAGCGCGGCCGAGCTGCGGGAGAAGCTGCGGGTGGTGCTGGGCTGGGCGCGCGAAGGCATGGGACTGGCTTGAGGTGTGGCCCGCTAGGATGCCACGATGTTGTGGGCGTCGCCTGCTGGCCTCGCTCCTGCCAAGGCGGCGGCCGTGTTATGCAGAGGGTGCTGTTCGGCCGTTTTGCCGGCCTGGCCCCGATTGTAGCGTCCAAGAACCGATCATCTATCCTGTTTCAAAGGGTCTTTGTGGCCTGGATGGCCAGACCTGCCGCAGTCACTTTACTGCTCTTGCACCCGGCTGGCGGGATGTCAGCTGGGTGATGCAACCGGGGCTCAAGCTTTCATAAACCAACATTTGTTCTCGTCACCAGGCTCGAATGGGCGCAAAGCCACGCTAGTATGGATTGCCCGGCTAGTACTTGCGCCTATCTCAGCAACCCCGCGCACGGTTGCAGCCGGACGAGCCGCCAAGCTGCACCCCTGTTGCCGCCACGATCATCCGACCCCCACGGTCGCCTTGCCTTCTTGCGTAATGGATCACAAACGTTCAGCGTCGTCCCTGTGGCAAACATGCGCCCCGCCTTTGCGACTGCCGGTGTTCCATCCGGCTGGGGAACCACGCAGTTTCATGTCCATGCTCAGCAACAAGCACAAACTATTGTTGTGCAGTGCTGTGTGTGAACTGCTGTTTTGCGCAGTGCTCTTTGTGCAGTGCTGTTTGTGCAGTGCTGCTGTGCCATGGATCTCTGTGCTGTGCTGACCTGCGATGTGCAGTCCTTGCTGTTCCTGATAGGCCGAGGTTGCACTGCCCGCCTCTTCAGCCATCTGATGTTTTCAGACGACCACCTCCGCTGGCCCAAGACATTTGAATTTGACTATTCTTCTGTGCCCAGAATGCTTGTCATCACCTTATCATGAAATCATTGGCCCTCAAACATGCGTGCCACACATCACGCGGTAAAGCACGGGCCGTCACATCGCACCGCAACATAGCCCTGCAGACGAGCTCTGCAGTCTCTGCGCAGCTGCGGCGATGTGATGTCACCCGAAACACCGCCGCACACCTCCTGGAACGCTCAAGATGCGGTACGCGAGGAGGATGTACACGTAACAGGTACCGATGCACATCAAGTTGGCTTAGTGAGGCTCTGCGTGACAGCCCGCAGCGGCCTAGTGGGGCGGCACGATGGACGATCTGTTGCAGACGCTGGGCCTCAGCAGAAACAACGCTCCTGAGGACAACGCCGTGTGTTTTGCGCTCTACCCCGCGAACTGCGCTGGAGCCACAGGTGCGCGCCACCAGATCGACCCGTTCTCCGCACCACGACTGCATGGTGACACTGGCAGTCGTGAAACGATATTAATCGTGTTTGATAACCCGTTGAGCTGCTGTGGCACAGCGTTCACTCTCCATGCAGCAAGGCACCAGTGGTGATGCTGCTGCTGCTCAGGGACTGCCGCTTCTCCCGCACCCGACCTCCAAAGCACCCCCACCTCTCCGCACCCCCTCGCGTGTCCAGAGGAGGACCTTGATGCATTGCGCATCGACTGCATGGCGGCCGTGTTGCCCCACATAGAGCGCTACGTCTGGCAGCGGGACGCGTTCACGCTCACCTCGAGCCTGCGCAGCCCGCCTCCATGGGAGCGCCCTCGCCCGCCCGGCCGCCGAGCCGCCGAGCGACAGCAGCAGCAGGAGCAGCACGAACAGCAGCAGCCGCCCGCCCCGAAGCGCGGCCCTCCGTGCCTGTGGGGCGCGGTCGCTTTCGGTGACAGCGTGGATGACGAGTGGTTTGTGGCCTGGCTGGCCCTTGAGCTGACGAGGCGCTTTGAGGGGCTGGCGGCACGGGTGTGGGACGATGACGGCGAATTCCTGCTGATTGAGGTGGGGGCCGCGGCCTGCCGCTGGGTGTCCGCCACGTGCGCGCGGCGCGGGTGCTCGAGGGAGCGCAGTGCACGCGGTCCGAACCAGCAGCGGCTGCCGGTTGTTTCTCTGACAGCAGCTCCGTGTGTGTTGCGCGGCATGGGCCACCCGGTGGTGGTGCTTGATCCGCCGTTGAGCATCACACGACATTCACACAAGTACTACCCCACACTCATATACAAGTAATTGTTCAATGCACCTGCTCCCCTGCCGCGCGTCGCGCAGGCCGCCTACTCCCTCCCCCGGTGGCTCAAGCCCGAGGTCGGCGCCGGCCGCGCGTGGCTGCTGGGCGGCCGCCTGCACGTCGTGCCGCTGCCCAGCGCCCGCCACCCCACGCTGCCGGCGAGCCCCTCGACGGCCGAGGCGCTGGCGATTGTGCGGTCCGAGGTGGTGGACACCCTCGCGCCAAGGTGGGCCGCAGGTGGTGCGTGCGCGGCTGCCTCACTCAGATGCTGCAAGGCTAGGGCTCCGCCAAACTTCTGGCAACGCGAAATCTTCGGGGGGGACATGCAGCCGGTGTGCTCGCAGCTGAAGTGGGAGGCTCAGCTGCTGACATCACTGCTTCATAGAACCTTTGAGGCCTGGCCGCGCACTACGGTAACAGCATCCCTTCCTCGTCCGCCTGCGCAGGATCGAGGCGCCCGTGCTGCAGCGGCTGTCTGGCTACCCCGCAGCCGCGCGCGCCAACACGCACACCGCGCGCGCGCTGCTGCCGCGCCGCGCGGCGGCGGTGCTCAAAGGGGAGCCGCAGCTGATCGGGCCGGCGGTGGAGGCCTTCTACTGCAGGTGGGACTGGAGGCCGCGTGCATGGAGGGAGGTGTATGATAACGACCTCCCTCACACCAGACTGCCAGGCGCCCCTCTGGGTTAATGCCCGGTGTGTGCGTGCGCCAGACGCCTGCGGCCTCTGAAACGAGCCCTGCCGGTTCCCGCCTGCAATCCGCTGACCAAGCTGCCGTCTCTTCCAGCAGCTCGCAGCACGCATCACTAGGCACCGGCGCCCTGGGTCCGCCCAGCCCTTCTGCCCCGCCCTTCACCCACAACCACTTTCTCAAGCCCTCATCAGCCCAACCGCCCTCACCACCCCGACCGCCCTCATCCCCCACACCGCCCCCACCACCCAAACA